GGCCCTGCCACTCTCTGACCCAGGAGTAAAGTCCCTGCCCTCAGAGTCCCTGCCAGGGGACCCTGAGGCCCCCAACATCATCTGCAGGGAGGATGGTCCTGAGATATCCATGGGGGCACACTGGGAGGGGGCTGGGGGGCACCCAGTGAACAAACACCCTCAAAGACACCCCCACAGCTCTGCAGGGAGTGCCCCAGCTCAGCCCCTCTCCAAGGAGGGCCTTTGAGGGCAGTCTTTGGGATTCCAAGGTCTCTTGAAGTTCCAAAGTCTCTGGCTTCCTGCCCTGTCCTGCCCACCCACGGGGTCAAATGCTCCAGAGCACAGAGGTGGCCTCTGCCTGGGTCTTTGCATTTTCTCCCCACACTCCAAACTGCTGCGGGGAGCATCCAAGGACCCCTTTGAAAAGTCTCCATCTGGCTTGGCCCTGCACCTCCCACCCCATGCAGCCCCTCCCCATGCCCCCGTCTCCTAGCAGCCCCTCCCAGGTATACCCAGCCAGCCACAGACAGCCCTTTCGAGTCCCAGCTCCCCACTCAGGGTTCCCCAGCTCAGGGCCCCTCCACCACCGCGGCTGGAGGGCAGAGACTAGTAAAAGTCTATTGCAGCAATAAAAGGCATTAACCATCTGAGCCCTCTTCACTGTGGCCCAGCAGCCGTCTATCCTTAAGCAGGAAATATTGTTTAATGCCGATGGTAATGAGCAAATCAAATTTTGAAAATTAAACCGGAATTTGAGCATTAGGGCCTGGGTGCTGGCTTCGGGCAAGCCAATTGGCTCAGCTGCTACTGACCTCTTCCTCCTCCCCTGGGACCCACTTGCCCTGCCTGTCCAGCAAGGTGTTCCTAGCTGGAACCCAAAGGCACGGGGCTAAACTATCCACTTAGGGTTCCCCCACCCAGAGCTTCACTTTCTGGGTTCACTTTGGAAATGCAAATCTTTCTAGATAGAGCAAGGGAGCTGGAGGCTGGAGAGACTTCACTCCCGCAGAGGGATCAAGGAACCGGCCTCTGCATAAGAACCCCCACCTCGCCTGCTTTCTGGGGTATCAGAGCTAGCCTGGGGTTCTAGAAAATGAAATGAGGGGGGAAGAGAGAAAATGAAATGGATTCCCCAGATGAGAAGGAATAAGAGCGTGTGTGTTGGGGCGGGAGGGTAGGGAGCAGGGGCCCTGTGGAAAAGCAAAGTCCTCTCACCATCCTTGCTTCTAGTCCTCAAAGAAACATCCTTCCTTTTCAACACTTCAAAGGGGTTTTGTGTAGCAGATTTGCCAATGCAGTGCATTGCTTGATCACTTGACTGCTGCTTCCATGAGCATTGATTGTGGAGATCCCTGACAACGTCCATCTTTTCTCCGTTTATGATGATGTTACCTATTGGTCCCGTGGTGAGAGTTTTCGCCTTCTTGACATTGAATTGTAATCCACGCTGAAGGCTGCAATCCCTGGTCTTCGTCAGCAAGAGTCTCAAGTGCTCCTCACTTTCAGCCAGCAAGCTTGTGTCCGCTGCATTATGACAGGGTGTTAACAAGCCTCCCTGCCATCCGGATGCCACTGTCTTCTTCCTATAAGCCAGCTTCTGTAATGATTTGGTTTGGTAGTCTATTAATCATGCACTAGAATTTTGAAAAGACTAGAAGTATGAGAATGACTGAAATACGGCAGGGACACAAAGCTAGCACACGATCTTGGAAAATTACACCAATCGACCCGCTGAACGTGGGGCTGCCACAAACCTTCAATTAGTTTAAAGAATAACAATTCTTTAAACTCCACAATATATGTGAAGTGCAATGTGCCTATATTTGAGAATTCTAGGGGGGGAAACTCATAGTGAGTCTATAGGACAGGGCCCCCTATGGACTTCCAAGACTAACTCTTCACAGAAGTAGAAAGCCTTGTCTTTCTCCTTCAGACCTACTGGTGGTTTCAAACTGCTGAGCCCAGCGTATAACCATGACGACACCAGGGTTCAGACATTTGAGTTCAATGGGGGCAATCCAAGAATACTTCCTGGAGGAAGTGAGTCCAGGGCCAGGTTTCTCTGGTTCGGGGCAGCCTTCCAGAAAGGTCAGACTGGTGTAGGTCCCTAAGGAAACCAAGGTGCTCAGGTAGAGGAACCTAGCCAGCTATACACTTAGACCCCAAGAAGGAAGTGTCCAGATCCCAAACTTAGAACTGCCCCATAAAGGGAGATTCAGGCGATGGAGAGTAGGAACTAGAGGGAGAAATTTAAAAAAAAAAGAATAAAGGACTGCCAAAGGGAAGTGGCGGGACAGAAAGGCACGTGTGGATGAATTTTAATGCAATCAGAAAGCTGTCACAATGATAATAAAGGAATATATTCAGACGTCAGGAGAAGAGAGGGCGCCAAGCTGTGGTCCCTGCATTTAAATCAGGCACAGGCGGGCGGAGGAAGCCTTTCTCTCTCCCAAGGAGGAAGTGGAGTTTTAAAGCGAGGGTATTTCCCCTTCTTTGTCTTTCTGGAAATCCCATTGAATCAAGGGAGTGGGGAGGTGCAGGGGTAGAGATAGGCCCTGGGCCTCAGAGAAAAGTTTAAATGATTGTATTGTGCTCTGCCAAGCCTCTAAGGAGCCCTGGTGTCCTAGTAGGCTACGAATTGGGCAGCTGACCACAAAGCCTACTAGTTGCTCCAACAGAGAATGAGGAGACTGTTCCCAAAGATGAAAGCATTTAAGTCTCTGAAACCCAAAGGGTCAGTTCTATTCGGTCCTATATGGCCACTCTGAGTCAGAATGGACTTCATGGCATCTTGGCTCTGGGGACTGAAATCTCTGGGTTCATTTCAACTTAGGTGTGGTTGCTTCCTGGAGGGGGGTGGCCAAGCCTAAGGGCTCTCTCTCTTTCTCTGTTCCCTCCTTCCATCCATCTCTCCTCTTTTTCATTCTTAGTTCTTGCCCCTAACTCCTTAACTCCTTCCTCCCATCCGGCCTCAACCTTGATCCAACTTTACCCTGTCTTTCTCCCTTTCCGATGGTTCCCCAGTTCCTGCTCCCCAGCCCAAGAACTGGGAGTAAGAGAGCCCTGTGGGCAAGTCTGAGTCTCTGGAGATGAGATGAGGTGTGTCCGTAGCCGAGGGAGCTGGTGGAGCAGTCTGGCAGGGGCAGGCGGTGGGGCTCCAGAGCCTTGCCCACCAATGGCAGAAAGCTGTGCTCTATGGGGCTTTGAGGGCTGGTATTCTGAGCCCTAGTTTGGCAGGCCTTTCTTCCAGGTTGCTATGGTGCACAGCCTGGTACCTCCAGGGACTCCTCTCCAGAGCTTGCTGCCATAGAGTCAATAGCCACTCAAAGTGACCATACGGGACAGACTAGAACTGCCCCTGTGGGTTTCCAAGACTGCACATCTTTCCAAGAGAAGAAAGCTTCCTCTTTCTCCCGGAAAGCGGCTGGTGGCTTCAAACTGCCTCTATGATTAGCAACCCAGGGGCACACACTATGCTACACGACCAGGGCTACCCTCCCCAGGGGAGCATTCCCAAAAGAGAAAGCCCTGTGGAAGCACACCCCATTACGACCCCACAGGGGTCATTTCTGGCACTGGTGGTTGGAGCAGTCACTAGCACCCTGTGGCTTGAAGGGGCAGGAACAAGACCCACCTTTCTGGGAGGAAGGAGTCAAAAACACCTTGTGAAGTCTTATTGGGGTCATTTAGGAGAGTACAAGTTGCCACCAACCTGACCCAGGCCAGTGTAGTCCCTGACCCCTGGAGCACATAGTGAGTGGCATCTGCCAGTCGCTCGGTCCCAATCACAGAGCCAGGGTGTGTGCTGTACTGTGTGCAACTCTGGGTGGCTCCTGGGGGCAGTGGAGTGAGCTCAGCCTTCTGGAAGAGGCTTCCAGGAGTAGCCTTGAGCTAAAATTTGCAACAAGAACAAATGTGTGTGTGTGTGTGTGTGTGTGGTGGGGGTTGACCTGAAAGGGGTTATTCAAGTAAAGTTAGAGCCCTTGAGACCCAAACGTGATGTGCCCTCATTTACACACAAGCCATCCAATCACTGCTCTGCTTTGAGGGCCTACTGTGTGCCAGGAGTTCTGGTCATGCTGTCTATAAGCCTTGGACTGCCAACCACAAGGTCAGCAGTTCAAACCCATCAAGCTGCTCCTGGGGAGAAAGATGCCACCTGCTCAAGGAGAGATGTACCGTCTCGTTGGGCTTCAAACTGCAAGGTCATCAGTTTGAATCCACCAGTTGCTCTGAAGAAGAAAGATGAGTCTTCCTACGTTTGTGGAAAGTTACAGCCTCAGAGACCCCTGGGTGCAGTTCTACCCTGTGCTACAGGGTTGCTATGAGTTGGCATCAACTCGATAGCGGTGGATTTGGTTTGGTAGGAAACCCTATGTAGCGTCACAATGAGTTGGCATCAACTCTGGCACCGGGTTTGTTTCTGTCTTGTTTCTATGTTGGTCACTGCTGCTTCTGCAGAGGCCTGTTCTACATCAGGGCCCAAACACGGGGGTTGGGGTAGATAGACTGGCAAAGCAACAGTGGTGGGAAGTGGAGATGGAGAGAGGGAGGGGCCTTGGTGAGGAGGGGGTATTTCAGCTGAGGCCTAGAGGAAGCACAAAGGGTCAGGCTTTGTGCTGGGTGGGGGTGGGGCACACTGGCCAGCTCTGGCAGCCTGGCAAAGGCCCTGGGTACCAGGCTCGCCCAAGGTAGGCAGTGAGCGGATCTAGGCACCTGTGAGGAGGTGGCTGCAGAAGACAGATGCTAGTGTCAGCTCGAGGAGGGAGGAAAGGAAGCACGGGGGTTGCTCGGACCAGTGCCAGGCAGCCCAGTCACCAGGCCAGCAGCCAGCCTGCTCTCTTGGGACAGAAGGAGGCCAGAGGTCTGGGCACTGCATTCTGGCTCCCTCCTTGCCCTTCTTCTACCCCCCTCCCTCTCCCCTGCCCTCCCCCCAGCTCTCCCTCTCTTCTCTCAGGGCCTGTCCCCGCCCACCCCGGGCCCTTGGCCCGGGTAAGCATCTCCTAATTTTGTTCCAGAAGATAGAAAACTCTTCGTGGGCATGCTCAACAAGCAGCAATCGGAGGACGACGTGCGCCGCCTCTTCGAGGCCTTCGGCAACATTGAGGAGTGCACCATCCTGCGCGGGCCCGACGGGAACAGCAAGGGTGCGTGGGGGCACGGCGGGGACCTGGAGAAGGGCCCATTCCCTGTGCACCAAGAGGGTTCCCCCAACCCAGGGAGGCTTGCAGGTGTTTTTTGATGTTCGGTCCAGCTCTATCTCTCTGTCTCTTGCCGTCTCTTTCTTCATCTCCTCCTCTGCCCCTCCCGCCCTGGAGGGCCTTCGGCTCAGCCTCTCCCATCTCCCCAGGGTGCGCCTTTGTGAAGTACTCCTCCCACGCAGAGGCGCAGGCGGCCATCAACGCTCTGCACGGCAGCCAGACCATGCCGGTGAGTGCGTGCTACCGGGGCCCGGCCCAACACGGGAGGGGACAGGGCGAGGGACCGGCCCTCACAGCCCCCCTGGAGACTGCAAGGCATTACCTTGATCCCAGTGTCCCCGATAAGGACATTGAGCCTCAGAATGTTAGCCCACTGGCAAGGCCCAGGTCCGCCAGAATGCAAACACTCCATCATGGGGCCAACCCTCCCCACCCCTGCCCCTGCTCTGTGAATTGGGCTGGGTGAGCCCTAGCTTGGGGCACTGACAGTAGGGGCGGGTAGTGTTTAGGTGCCCGAGAGCGTTGGGCCTCATTGTGCCCTATCCTCTGCCACAGGGAGCCTCGTCTAGTCTGGTGGTCAAGTTTGCAGACACGGACAAGGAGCGCACAATGCGGCGAATGCAGCAGATGGCTGGCCAGATGGGCATGTTCAACCCCATGGCCATCCCGTTTGGAGCCTACGGCGCCTACGCGCAGGCAGTAAGTGTGGGCACCATGGGCTGGCGGGCAGGAGGGGTGGCAGTCCTCAAGCCCACACTCCAGGGAGCCCCGGGGGCTGGGAGATCTAGCTGCACCCAAGGGATACTGTTTTTGTGTCTACAGTGCTAAGGGGTCAGGAATGAGGCCAGGGAGGGAGGGTGGGTGTCTGGAAGAGGTGGGTTTCTGTCCAGGTTCTTAAGGAAGTGAGGGACCAGATGGCAACCAGGGGGATCACCTTGAGCCCCCTGACCTTGTGCCAGCTCACTGCTGAGCCCTAGAAAGTCAGACGGGCGTGGGGAGAACTAGAGAGACATTCTCTTGTCACCAGCCAGCCCCCACTCATGGAAAGGCATCTTCTGTCCCCTGGTCACTTCTGGCCACAGTTTTGTGAGGTTGCCCCCAAACCTTCATGCTCACGATGTCCCCGCAGTTCCCCAGCCATTCCACCATCTTCTTTCTTGGATGGTGGGCCCCACTCTGCCAGCATCTCCCCTAAGCCGCCTCTCACAGTTGTGTCCACAACGGGTTCGGGTGTGTGTGGTCCTGAGCCAAATCAGGGTTCTGGTTCTACAAAGCTCACCTCACCTATTCAGACGGGTGGGGTCCAGCCTTGTCCACTTTCAGCAACTTTCCCCAGCCTCCACACACCCACCTTCGTGAGGCTCTCAAGGGTGCCCAGAGTCGACATCCTGAATCTCCTGTCCCTTCTTCCCAGCAGAGCTCCAGGCCAGGATAGTTTGGGTCAGAAATTCATGACCATTTCACCTCAAAGGGGCTGGTCCAGCTCGCCTTAAGAGATTTGGCCTTTGCATCCCCACAAACAGCAGGCCTTAGACACCTTGGGGCCAGCCTTTCAAATCCAGTCATCCCTGCAGGGAGGTGTTACCTACTAGCAGTAGAGGACAGTGGGCTGGAAGAGGGCAGGGGTCAGGGCTCTGTGGGATTGGGGCAGTTGCAGGTCCAGAGCTCTGGGTTCAGAGCCTGGGAAGCTGGTGTCGGGGAGCTGAATCCCCTGGTGGGGAGGGCGGCCCCCCTGGAAGCACGTGATATTTTTTCTCACTCCCTTTGCCCCAGCTGATGCAGCAGCAAGCGGCGCTGATGGCCTCCGTCGCGCAGGGTGGCTACCTGAACCCCATGGCTGCCTTCGCCGCTGCCCAGATGCAGCAGATGGCGGCTCTCAACATGAATGGCCTGGCGGCCGCGCCCATGACCCCAACCTCAGGTGGGCACAGGGCCTGGCCCAGAGCAGTTGGGCCCAAGCTGGGTATTTTGGTCAGCCAGTGGCAGTTGCTGTCCTTGGGTGGTATAATTCCCCGGAGGAGAATGTGGGGTGTTGGGCTGACCGTCCAAAAGGTCAGAATGTGGGGTGTTGGGCTGACCACCCAAAAGGTCAGCAGTTTGAAACCACCAGCAGCTCCTCAGGAGGAAGATGGGGTTTTCTACTCCTGTAAAGAGTTAACAGTCCCAGAAACTCGTGCGCGTGTGTGTGTGTGTGTGTGTGTGTGTGTGTGTGTGTACCATTCTACCCTGCCTTCTAAGGTTGCTATGAGTCGGAATCACCTTGATGGTGGTGAGTTTATTTGAGTTTTCGGTCCGTGGGCCAGAGTCCATGGCATCTGGGTCTAAGCTGACCTCGTCCCTCAGACAGTTTATCTTATCCATGTTTTGATTGCTAGGGATGTGGGCTCCCTAAAGCAAATGACATGATTTCAGGGCGCTAAGAATTTCACGTTGGTGTTCATCTCCACCCGTCTGAGTGGTAGATATTTGGAGAGACACTGACATGAAAACCCTCCACCTTGAGGTCTGCAGGGAAAACACTCCTGCCCAGTCTGTGGCCTTGTTCAGTCCATGGCCCAAGCCAGTGGCATCTCAAGGGGCTGTGAGGAGTGCAGACCGCACCAGGTGACCCCGCAGGGGGCAGGGGGCAACACCAAGATGGCTTGGCTGCCAATAAAACTTTTCTCCCGTGTTGCTAATTTTTAGAATAAAGATATTCTGGTTATTAGTTATAGTAACAACAGCCTTTTGTGTAAGCCCACCTTCCATGTATCGATATACCTAAGAGGTGAAAACTCTGTGCCGATCTGCTCTGTGGACTTTCTAAGCAGCTCTGGTCAGCCTGTCATTATTACTTGGTTACAGTGTTGCTTCAGGGCAGGCTGTTTCGGTCAACACATGCTACACACACCACTCACACACCAGGACTGTTTTCGTTGCTGCTGGTGTTTCTATCATTGAGCATGTCACATGTCCTCATGCTCTCACTACAATATTGTGCCCGTTCGCATTTGTGAGCCTCTGCCAATAACTTTGTTTTTGAGAATGAAGTAGTCATCTAAGGCAAAACGAAGCTTAGTGCCACTGAGTGGATTCTGACTCATAGTGACCTATTAGGACAGGGTAGAACCCCTGTGCATTTCTGAGACTGTGATTCTTTGTGGGAACAGAAAGCTCCATCTTTCTCCCAAGGCGTGCTGGTGGTTTCAAGCTGCTGGCCTTGCAAGGTACTGAAGGAGGAGCCAGTGTGGTCAAAGTCAAGGGCATTGCCGATGAGTGGTCGGCAGCCAGGGAAGTCCTCATGGGGTAGAGGGCACTTGGTCTCTATGGGAAATCATGGCTAGAACTGGGCTGGGCAAAGTCACTCCAAGCAGGGGAATAACTAGAGGCATGGATCTCAGAACAGGTGTGTGAGGTCTGGGTCTGTCCCTGGGGGGTAGGGGTCAGCAGAGTGGAGCTCCATGGAGGGCTTGCCTGATCCTTGCCCTGCTTGTCTTCCCGGTCCTCCACCCTTCCTCACCCCTGAAACCAGGTGGCAGCACCCCTCCGGGCATCACTGCACCAGCCGTGCCTAGCATCCCATCCCCCATTGGGGTGAACGGCTTCACCGGCCTCCCCCCACAGGCCAATGGACAGCCTGCTGCCGAAGCTGTGTTTGCCAATGGCATCCACCCCTACCCAGGTAAGCACATGCAGCCCAGCTGCCCCAAGCAGCACACCCTCGTCCATCGGCCCCTTCCTCGCAGGTAAACCAGGAAGGATGTGGCCTCTGCCCATGCTCTGTGATCCGGGTGAGAAAGTCTCCCAGAAGCCCCAGGGAGCCCATGGTTGGAGATAAGTGAGCAAAACCCCACCTGCAGAAGGGGGTCAGTCTGATGGTGGAGGAAGATCCTTGTTGCTGAGATTCTCTCAGAGAGAGAGGCTGTTGTCCTTGACATTGTTAGGTGCTGGCAAGTCGAGTCTGGCTCTGAGTGACCCCATAGAACTGCCCTGTGGGGCTTTCAAGGTTGTGACCTGCTGAAAGAGGGTTGCCGGGCCTCTCTACCAAGTGCTTCTATGTTGGTTTGAGCCATAAACCTTTTGGTTTGTGGTCAAGCACTTAACCATTCGTGCCACCCATACCAATGACACCAAACCTGTTGCCGTTGTTTCTTCTGACCCATAGCAACCTGGTAGGACAGAGTAGAACCGCCCTGTGTGGCTTCTAAGCCTGCTACCTCCGTGGGGACAGACTGCCGCATTTCTGCCAGGGAGCAGCTGAACTTCCAGCAGAGCACGTTCACCACTGTGCCTCCAGGGCTCTTTACAGAGACTATCAACTGAAAAGTATTGGAGCATAGATTTTTCCTATAAGACATCAGGAAATAGAAACAAAAAGAACACTCAGGTTTACATTACAGGTAAATAGGAAAGGGGAAGGGGAGTGGACAAGCATTGATTGGCAGTTCAGCTAGTAAAGACCTAGCCAAAAAAACTCATTGCCATCGAGTTGATTCCAAATCACGGCGATCCTATAGGACAGGGTAGAACTGCTCTTATGGGTTTCCGAGGTTGTAACTGCTTGTGGGAATAGAAAGCCTGGTCTTTCTCCGTTGGTGCGCAGAAAACTGTGCTTAGGACAGCGGACAGAGAATCAGCACCTCGGCCAGCTCCCGAGTTTGCCCATACCCCTGAATAGGAAGGAAGCTCTAGGCAGCCCGGGCCGGGCGGGCTTGGCTCCTCTCAAACTCAGTGCTTCACAAGTGGTGAGAACATTAGTCGAATGGAAGCAGCTACTCTCTTAGACCTGGAAGCTGGGTTGACATCAGGGCAGGATGCTAGGTAACTCCAAGTGACCTTATAGAAAAGATAGAATTGCCCCCTTTGGGTTTCCTAGGCTGTGAATTTTTACCAGAGCAGAAAGCCTATCTTTCTCCTGAGAGGCAGTTGGCGGGGTTTGAACTGCAGACCTGGGGGTCATCAGCTCAACTCATGAAACCCACTAAGACGCCAGGGCTCCTGATAAAGTCCATTAAGAAAGGCCACTGTCACTGGGATGTGACAAGTGTAACCCTGTTTCCTGGAGAGAAGAGGATGAGGTTATAGCACTCCTGTGAGTTTTAGGAGTAGGAGACATCGTTAAAGTAGCACTTTAGTGGGGGCTCTTGTGGGGATAATTATCAGTCTGGAGAATGTGTATTGGGAGCCATCTCTATCTTATGACTGCCATGATTATGAGTGTAGAGAATTTGGCCACTTACATTTTCATCCCGTTTCTTGGTTTCCCACACAGCTTGGAGTTACCCTTACTCCATCCCAGGGCTCCTCCCCCAATCTATTGCTCAGTCCACAGAGCAGAAGGTAGAGGAGCCTAGAGCGAGGGGTGCTGGGGTGACAAGGATCTGGGCATTGCTTCAGGCTGTAGACTTCAGGCGGCAGGGAAGGGGATTAGCAAGCTGGAGGCTGGAGGAACCTCTCTATTCTCAGGTTCCTAGGCTGGGAGCGAAGAGCCCCAGCACATCTGGGTGGCTGCATTTCCCACTCCTGCCTGCCCACAAACCCATCTGGATCCCTGGATCTTGACAAACCTGTTTCTGCCCCGCCCCCAGCAGCATCTGTGAGCTATTTCCCTGGTGGTGGAGTTTGGAAATGTTTCTCTCCCCCATTTGTAACAATCTGCCACCTCCTATAAACAATTCCCTGCCAGAGCAGGGGGGAGGGGGGGAGGGAAGGAGAAAAGTAGTACATTAAAAAAATTAATTTACCATCTTTAAATGCGGGGTTTGGAGCCGCTGTAATGAGCGAGATCCTTCAAAGCGCTCACTCCTTGGCAGTTACTAATGGAGGTCGTTAAGCAGGGGAGGGAAGAAGGGCTCAGAAATGCTTCCCTGCACGTCCCACCACCACCTCACTGTGCCTGAGAGCCCCTGGCTCAGCACCCCTCTGTGTCTCAGGGACTGTAGAACCTGCCATTCCCACGACCATGTTCTAATGGAAGTTCCCGGACACAGCCAGGAAGAAGAGCTCAGAGGGATGTTTGGGAATTCTTCCTCATCTAAAGGCTCCTGGTGCAGCCCTGTTAGCTTGATGGTGTGGGGCACCACGTGGGGTTCACCTCCTCCCTGTGTTATTGCCAGGTTGCCCCAAGGTCACTGGGCCTGGGGCTTCCCCATGGGTGAGCATCTGCCCCTAACCTTCAGTCCCGGTCATCACTGGCTGAGTCACCTCAGGCCTAGGCCACATGCTCCTGCCCTTTCCACGTTGTGCTGAGGTGTTAGCCCAAGGGTCCCCCCCTTGTTCTCAGCTGTCATAGACACGTGATTCCAGAGCTGAGCTAGGTGGTCCAGTCTGAGTGGCTGTCCCCTTGTGATCAGTCCCTGCTGAGGGTCAGCCATGCCCGGGCAAACATCCTAGGGCTGGAGGATTCCCCTTTGAGCAGGAGGCTAGAGGGCAGGGCATGGTCTCCCCAGACCCCATCTCTCACTCAGTCAGGTTCTTCAGGCTGGCCCTGTAGCCACTACCCCTGACACTGCCAAGGGCCCCAGAGGATGAGTGCACCCCCCTTTCCCCACGTCCTTCTCTGGAGCGGGGCTCCTCAAGGTTACACCTTCTATCAAATCTTCCCTCTTCTGCCCTTCATAGACTTCTGCATGACCCATGCCCACTCATATCACACCTGGGTGGACAACACTCCACCTAGTGAGGGGCCCAGCTGGGGAAGGGAGGGGAGGCCAACAGCATCCAGGTCCAGGTGCTGTGGGTCCTTAGGTCAGATGCCTGCCCCAGCACAGACTCCCAGGTGGCTTTACATGGTGGGGGGTGGGGCTGGGCAGGCACTGACCTCTGCCCCCTGTTTCTTGCAGCACAGAGCCCCACCGCCGCGGACCCCCTGCAGCAGGCCTACGCTGGAGTGCAGCAGTATGCAGGTCGTTAGTATCCACCAGCCTCCCTTCTCCCCACTCCTCGGACACCGGTGCCCCTTCACACCTCCCAGCCTGCATGGGGGGTGGGGGTGGGGGGAGAATAGTGGCAGGGAGCTGCTGTGGGGGGAGGGGCTGTAGGGGCAGAGGCCCCTCTCTGTAGGCCTCCTTGCCTTGGGGTTGTGGTTACCCACGTGACTTGGCAGGGTAACCAAGGTGTGGGGTGAGGACTTCAGACGGGACTTCGGACGAGGGCACTATGGCCACTTGCCTTTGCAGCTATAGCTTTTATCCCCAGGTGCCCCATGGTTCAGTCGGAGCGCCAGGCCATGCAGCCGCAGGGGGCGCTGAGGGGTGGGAAGTAGGGCTGCTGCCCACCACAGTCCACAGTCACTGCCTCAGGAAGCCTAGAACCCAGTTGGCACCCCACCCCAGCCACACCCAGGCAGCAGGATGGCAGGGCGACTGGGCACAGGGAAGAGGCGGGGCATTGTGGCCAGAGGTAGGAAAGGAGGAGGTGAGGAGAGCAAGAGTGGCCCAGACCGAGCAGGTGGCCTAGTTACCAGCTCACACCCTGGGCTGAGCAACGCTTCTAGTCATCCTCACCCAGCAAGTGCCTTGCTGTTGGACCAGGCCAGGTCCTTCCTCGTGGTGCTTGGAAGGCTCAGCAGAGTCACCGCTGAGGGCCACAGGGCTGCTGTCACCACTGAGGGCTGCCTGTCAGGGTGGGGTCTTGGGGTGGAGCAAGATGCTGGAAAAAGTGTTCTCAGCTGTCTGCCCCCCCACCCCCACCCCACCCCAGTACAACCTCAGACCCTGCCCTTTGGGGAGTCTGGCCAGGCTGGGGAGGGGACTGGGCAGGTTCCACCTCTGACCCTTCCTGATGGGAAATGGACAATGTCAGGTTTGTTTGATTCAGTCCTCTATTCCGCTCATGCTCTTGTAGGCTCCCTGGAAGCCAAATTCACAACTTGGGTGGCTTCCAGCTCCCACCCCAAGCCCAGTCCCATGCAGCTTGGCCCAGAGATGGGGACAGGCATTTAATTGGAGTGACTTGTCCAGGGTACTGTGATGGCTTTGATGATGTCATTGTGGGTCACCCATCTATTGTCTCATTTCAGGTTAACCCACCTTCCCCCTCCAAATGCACACACGCATGCATGCACACGTCTCAAATGCATATACACAGATGCTGACACACATGACACACATGCACAGTGTGTTCATGTATACACACATGACACATGTGCATAATGTATAAATGAATGCACATGTGTCCTACACATGTAAGCACACACATGTGCACACACGACACACATACATGCTGTATACACACATGCACACCTGTCCCATACATGCAAACTCAGATGCATATGTGCATGCACACATGTCATACATATGCACAATGTATACATGAATGCACACCTGCCCCACATGCGCAAGATCAGGTGCACATACACATGCACACATGTCACACATATGCAGTGTGTACATGCAGGCATACATGTCCCACATGTGCAAGCACAGGGCATACATTCATGCACACGACACACATACAGTATACACATGCACACGCCCCACACATTCAAGCACCGGGGCCTACATGTGTGCACACATGACACACATATGCACAGTATATGCATGCATGCACACATGTCCCCCCCACACACAGGGGCATGCAAACTTGCACACATGACACCCATATATGCACAGTGTATGTGTGCATGCATACATCTCCCACACATTCAAGCACAGGGGAATGCACACATGACACACGCATACACACAGTGTATGCATGCATACACACATGTCCCACACATTCAAGCACAGGGGCATACACACGTGTGCACACATAACACACACATACGCACAGTGTATGCATGCATGCACATATCTCCCACACGCACAAGCTCAGGGGCACACACACGTGCACACATGTCACACATACACTGCATACATGCAAGCACACCTATCCCACGCATGTGAGCACAGGGGTAGACGTGTGTGCATTCGGCTGCCCCTGCTTCATTAGACAGCGTCTGGAGAAAGGGCTGCCTTCTCCTCCCCCAGCTGCTCGGAGATGCCCTTCCCGTGGGGCTGCTCTCACTGACACTCTCTTTTTCTTGCCTCCACCCTGTCGTCACCAACTCACTTGCCTCTCGCTCCTGCCTCCTGCCTTTGGGCCTCCAGCAGCTGCCTACCCTGCTGCCTATGGTCAGATAAGCCAGGCCTTTCCTCAGCCACCGCCAATGATTCCCCAGCAGCAGAGAGAAGGTGAGCTGTCCTTCCCCACTCCCTCCTCCCAGAGGCTACTGGCCTGGCCCTTGGCTCAGGCCTCTCCTGCACAAAGTGCCACCCTGTGTGTGGTGAGGGCTGTGAGACGCAGCGCACTGGCCCAGTGTGGAAGGGCTCCTCCTGAGGATGGCATAGTGGGCAGCTCAGGGGGCTGGCTGCAGGGTCACACCTGGCCCCTCCCGAATCCCCCACCATTTGCCACTGGCTGGTGACATAGACCACAGACAGGATCTCTCTGCCTGGGGTGGGGGGTGGGGGATGTTGGCAAAAAACCAAAACCAAACAACTTACAAGAACTCGGAGTCTCCAGAAGGCTGGGTGTTCCCGAGCAAGGCTTTCTCCAAAGCCTGTCAGACCAGGCTGGTGTAGCCTATGGAGAAGAGAAAGGCCTCACCTTGGGGGTCTGACTTGAAACTGTGCCCAGGGCGCTGAGAGTGTAGCTGGGAGAGACCAGACTCTGAGAAGGTGGTGATGGATTTGGTGGCACCAGCTCTGCTGGGTGTGGCCTTTGAGAAGGGACGGTGCACAGACTGCATGGTCAGGAGGTGGGGGTCCAAGAGCACTCCCTCTGTGATGAACAGGGGTTGGCTAATGGCCAGAAGGGGGAGGGGGAGGAGTGCTCCAGGCTGGGGGCAGGGCGGGGTAGGGTTGGTCCTGCCAGGAGACACCGTCTCCTTTGGGTGGCTAGGAGAGGCCGCTGGAACCCCAGGGAGGACTATGGGCAGGTAAAGCAGAGGGCACCGGAGTGCCCCAAGCCGGCCTCCATGGGGAAGTTCCTGAAAGGTCCTTGCAGGGGCTGGGGCTGACAGGGGCCTCCCAGAGCTCCTGACACCCAGCATTCTCCCACATAAGGACCAAACCAAACTCACTGCCATTGACAGACTCACAGCGGCCCTCGAGGACAGGGTAGAGCTGCCCCTGTGGCTGTCTGAGGCGGTAACTCTACAGGAGGAGAAAGCCTCCTTTCTCCCACAGAGTGGCTGGTGGTTTCAAACTGCTGGCCTGCGGTCAGGAGGATGGCTATGCCTCCACCCGCAGGAGTCCGCAGAGCTACCCTGGGAGAGCTCAGTGAGAGGGGCAGAGATGCTGGCAGGGTGCCATCAGAAGGGTCACCCTGCAGCTCCTCCAGTAGCCCACTTGGCTAGGGAGTTGCAGTGGCCCCAGGTCACAGCCCAGGCAGCAAACCTTCTTGGAGTGGTGGGCTGAAAGTTAGTCCCAGAAAGAGCAGGCCACAAAGGTGGAGGTCTGAGAACCTGGGCTTCGTCATCAACACACCTGAGCCGGTCTCAGTTCTGCCACTCCTCCCACGTGACCTTGGACCATTCGCTCCACCCTGGTAGCCTTCCAGTCCCTACTCTATAGAACAAGGAGCCGGATGGAGGGTGTGAGGGCTCAGCTGCCACTGCGGCTGCCCAGACTCCAACCAGGAATGCTCTGTGGATTTCTCCCTGTGTGCAGCTCACCTTCACCCAACCGCCACCCCTCCACAGTGGTACATGACGCAGGGCCCCCAACCTTGCATGTATCATTTCCTGAGGCCTTTGCCTTTGGCCGACCTGAGCGACCAGAACCCACAAGGGTGTGCAGTGGAGCCTCTGGCCCAGTGTGGATGGCTTTGCCCAAGGCTCCTCACAGGGCCTCCCCTGTCCAACAAGCCTTCCGGCCCCACATTAGTCAGAGCAGCACCGCAGAGAGCTGGCCCCCCCATGCCCTGCACTGCTGTCCCCCACTGGCTTCTGGCTGACCCACCCTCAATCTGGAGTCAGCACCCTGCTTTGCCCGATGACACACAACGCCACAGCCCCTACAGCAGACACCCTGGCCCTCAACATCTGGCTCTGAATTCTTTCTCCTATGTTCTCTGCTGCATCCCTGCTCCTCAGACCAGGTCATGTGGGCCCCTCAGCCTCTACTCTGGGCCGGAGCTTGCCCCTGGAAGGGAAGGACTAAACCCTTGCTGTGTGGACCGCACTATATGCTGGCCAGGTCACGGGTCCCTGGTGTTCACGAGGGCTAGGGTAGGCTTTGGAGGAGGAGAGGGATAGCCCAGGCAGGTAGAAGGGCCAGAGCAAAGGCTTGGCAGCTGGCAAGGGTGAGGTGAGCCCTGGGGAGGGTGAAGGGCAGGCTGAGAGGTGGGTTGAAGCCACCAGAGCCCAGCTCTGGCCTTGCCCAGCAGTACGGTAGGAGGCAAGGAGGAGGGAAAAGGCTGGACTCTCCCAGCGCCGCCAACCATCTGCCTCTGTGTCATGCTGATCCCCACCCCACACAGTAGCAGCTGCATCCATGGCCACACGGGTGGCCCGGGAGGACTTTCTTTGTCTGAGTCTCCCAAGGTTCTGCCTGCCCTTTAGCTTACCCTTGGGGATGGTTGGTCATGACTCTGCCAAGGCAACAGCGTGGCATATGACTAGTCACCATTCTGTCCCTGAAGCCCCAAAGGCTGAGTGGGACCAGCTGATTCCTCCAGACCAGCCAGTTGCACCATCTTCGAGTTCTAGAATGTGTGTGGGGTGGGGGTGGGGGTGGGGGTGGGAGGGTGGCGCTGCAGCCAGGCTAGCTGGAGGGAGACATGAGGTGGGCTCCCTGGGGAGGGGTGAGTGACTGGAGAAGGGAGAGTGGCAGAAGCATGCAGGACCTGAGCCCTGGGCAGGTGTCAGCGTGGAGAGGAGCAGGTGGGGGGCAGTCACGGAGCCCTGAGAGTGAAGCTGGACTTAGGAGGGGAGGCACATGCCGGGCTGGGGCTGGCAGAAATGAGTGGGCAGCAAGCACCAGTCTGGGTGGAGAGAAGAACCGCTCAGATGTGAGCCTCAAGATACAGTGTGGGCGGCAGACTCAGGGAGCCCCAGAAGGGGCTTCCAGAGGATGTGTGTGTGTGGGGGGGGGGACATCTGATGGGTCTCCTGGAGGAGGTGTAACTTGGATTGGGCCTCACAGCTGGATCCTAACCAAGGGGACTCTCTCTGCCTCGCACCATGGAGGGCTTGCTGCCAGTGAGGACCTGGCAGGGTTGGAGGGGACTGGTAAAGGCAGGGCCATCAGAGCACAGGGTGCCAGCCTCCGGCATCCCCCAGAAGCAGGTACCGGGCTCACTTGCGTCGTCAGCTGGCAGGGTGGGGATAGCACTTCTTAGAGGTAGACAGGCCAGGCAGGGTGAACTTTGGGGGTGAGAGGGGTCTGCTGTGGGCCTCAAAGGATGGTGGTAGATGGAGGGAGGGGCAGGGAGGAAGAGGAAGAATAGCGGGGAACATTCTCTCAGAAGCAACCTCATTGGTTCAGGCCAGGAAAGCCCTGTAGCAGCCCTGTAAGCCCCTGCTCGGCTCAGAAGCTCAGCTTGCGAACCCAGCTCCCATTAGCACAACTCTTACACCCCAGACCCACCACAGATGGGCATCTAGCATTGAACAGAAACACAGGCCGCTTTCAAAGGTGACATTTAAAGTGTTAAGACCTCAGGAAGCAGCAGGCAATGAAACCTGGAAAGATCTCTGGAGTCTCCTGACACTGTAAAAAGAGGAAGGTCAGTCATTGGCCAGCTGGAAATTTCAGAAAGGTGAAAACCCCGGTGCTGAGGGAGCTGAGCATTGGTGGCGGGTGGGGGGTCGGGGGTGGGGTGGAGTAGAGAGAGAAGCCCAGCCTGCTTGCAGGCTGCATGGTGAATTTTGGTCTGGGTGCTCAAGACAAGGGTTGAGGTTGAGGCAGAGGAGGGGCCACTGTGGGGGCCAGATTGGAAGAAGTGGATAAGCACTACCCAAGGGGCATTCCAGAATCTAAGCTGAGGCCTTTGGGAAGCTGAAGTGGTCGTAGTCCCCAACCCATTGTCCCCAACCCCCACCCCTGCCTGGCCCAGGACATGGCTATGTCTGGGCAGGGGTCTGGCAGGAGAGGCGGCTGGGCAGGCAGCCTCTCCTGCAAGCCTACTGGCCCCTCCCTTTCCTGAGCACTTCATCTCTGGGGGCCATGGCTGAGCACCCCTTGGCATGCTCCTCCCACCCTCGCATCAACTCTACCCCTGGAGCCCCAGAGTTGCCAGACCCCCCATCCCCCATTACCAGACTCATTTACTTTACACAGCAGGCAACTGAGGCACAGAGAGGGCCAGTGACTTGAACAAGGGGCAGAGCAGAGACCAGAGCTCAGACCTGGGGTCAGCACCCCCTACCCTTCCTGGGCCGCCCTCCAATCTTGGATGAGACCCCC